GGTCATTTCCATGTTCAGGATCGACCTGTTATCTGTCAGCAGACCGTTTGACGCGACGGCAGCACCCAGCCCTCCACAGCTGGGCTGACGTCTGCCCCCGTGTGGCTGAGGCGTGAAGCTGCACACTGGTGAGGTATCAGGGTATCACACTCACACACACAGACACACACCTGCTAAGACACTGCCTCTCACACACCCAGAGGTGCCAGCACAGTGCCACGCACGTCTCAAGCTCAGGGTTCCTAATTCACACTGGAGGGTGAATGTCTGGGAGCTCGCGATCGTCTTGGATCCTGGTGCCCACTCGCCAGAAAGCACAGCCGCCGAGCGGCGACTCAGAGCAGGGGCCGTTTTCACTGCGTTCAGAGCACCGGTGCTGTGCATCTGCCGCCCACACTCACCGCTCATTAAAACGCGGGGTCGGGGGGGATGACCACAGTGGGCTCCAGCGATGCATTAGCGCAGAGGACGGTCTCGTAAACCCACTCCATGCCGGCGGGGAAAGCGGCCCGGTGCCGTGCTGCACCCCCTGGAGAGGACACCGAGAGTGGCTCCCTTTGCAGCAGCCGACAGAGGCACCGCATCCTGGGGGAATTAGCTCTGATCAGGGCCCCATGGCAAGAACTGCATACGCTGTTGCTGCACTACAGAGGTGTGTGGGGAAGTCTGCGATGAATCAGCACTCCCAAGAGATTATGGTTATGGTGCAACCCCAAGAGATTTAAAATTAGACATTGTCTAAAATGGGATTTTCTTAATCCAGTTCCAGATATTTTCGCTCTTTCCCAGCTTCCAGTGCACCTGAACCAGGGATTGGGTGATCTTGATTGGCTGGGAGCTGGGAGCATAGGCATAGATTCGGGTTGGGTGGGGGTACACTTCCCCCCCAATGTTGAGTTGGGGAGATCATCCCCCTCAATAATATCACATATAATGCCTGGTTTACAAAAAGCACATACGATGAATATATCTCATTGCATAATTTAAAGTTTTGTTTTCCTTACAGTTTTTATTTTGAGAACCCCTACCTTCCGTAAAAAGGGTTTATTCTCAACTCCCCCTCCAGCAGACAGACGCTCACTTCCAGACCCGCGAGTAAAGACACAATTAACAGAGAGCGGCGAGCACAGAAGCACGCTGCGGCTTTGTATGTAAAATCAACTCGTTGAAGACCTTGTATCATAACCAACAGTTAATCAAAAAAGGCTATGGGAAATAGTGGAACTTGATTGTCTCATGTCAATAAAGTTTCCTGAAGATTATCTTATTTGACTGTGCAGACTGCAACTAGCTTAGTTAGTTAACAGCACAGCACAAATAGCTACGCTGATAACCAAGCGGTGCACAGTGTTTGTCAGTCACAATGCCGCTGTGCCTGCTGTCGGTATAAGAATGAATAAGAACCCAGTCAAAAAGGGGCCCAGATCTGACATTTGGAAAACACCGTAAAGTAAGTTTCTCAGTTACCAGTAACTCTGAATCATTTAGTTTGCTGGCAGAAAGTCCCATTTACCGCTAAGAAGAGATTCAGTAAATACCCTGTATTTAGTTCTATGGGTCTGCAGGAGAAGATCTCCTAGTCACTGTTTTATGTGGGTTGTGTTTCTTTCCGGAAAGTTAGGATGTGTTTGTGAGAGACAGGCTGCAGGAGAGAGACAGGGATATCATAGTGGACCCTGAGGTGAGGTCATTCTTCCACAATGCAAACAAAACTTAGCAAGCTGTACAATTTTAATGATGCTCCTTATCTAGTATAGCTCTGCAGGTGCTCTCCAAGCCATTCCTAATCATTTTCGACCTTGCAGTTTAAATCACTCATGAATAAATGTGTTTGTGGGAAATTGAGTTATTTTGAACTATTTTTTTTTCCAAATACTAACTACTATGAGATATCTAACAACATTCAATGCAACATTCAGCATGGGGCAGTAAAGTGATGTGTGGCAGAGCTTAGAATACAGAGAATGCTGCAATAGTATTACAAAATTAGCAACTGAGTCGCCGTGGAGACAGTGAGTGTACGTCATTTCATGTCACAACCTCATGCAAAACAAGTGAAACTGGAAACTAAAGAGCTGACCAGTTTTGTTTTCTCGCACTGCCCCCTGGAGGACATCACCTTTAATCCTCCAGATAGACATAGACTATGTGTATAAGTACAGTCTACACTGCTCGCGTAGTGCACGTTATAAGGCAACGTGATGTCACACCTCTGACCTGGATGTACCAGCACCCCCTAATGTCAGTGTGAAACCTACACCCCTGGCTGGGAAGGAGGAGAAGGTGCAAGGTCTGGGGTCCCCAAGGACTGGCTTCAGAAAAACTGCTCTAGATAGATAGATACTTTATCCTGAAGGAAATTTAGGATATTACCTTTTAACACAGACGTTAAGTGTTAGATTTTTGGTGAAATGATACAATAACAGAAATGCTTTCGTTTCACACATCGACCTTTTATTCATATTTCTGCTCTTACTATTACTCTTGCTATTGCTACAGTTAAAGTACAGGTGTAACTAGCTGGTGAGGACTATGTGAAGATCAAAGGGCAACCCTGTGAGTGCAGACTTCAGTTAAAGTACAGGTGTAACTAGCTGGTGAGGACTATGTGAAGATCAAAGGGGAACCCTGTGAGTGCAGACTTCAGGTCTCTGTGGTTTGGCTTTTTCCAGGTACCTCCTCTGTGATCCTGTGTTCGCACTGGTAGGGAGCCATGGTCACATTTCTGAGAAAAGCATGTCCTTAATGCTTATGTCGCCGGCAGCCAGTGCAAGTGTGCACTGGTCATGGGTTCGGTCAGTAGCGGAACAACTGTACACTGGGCCCTGGGACAAAAATGGACTATGTCCGCCCCCTTTTCCAAATTGACACCTTGGGCCTGTCTATGCCAGTTGCTGCAGTTGCAGATGATGAAATTTAAGTATCTTAAGTAGCCTCCAAATATCATACCCATTATGCACTTGTGGTAAGTAGGAAGTTCCACAAACATGCTTTTCTCATGAAATACTTGCCTCAGCAACATACTTTGACTACAAGACATTACAGACTATTACATTTCAAGTGTTGTACCAAATTTTCTTGTGTTATGACTCCCACCATAATGAGATTGTATACATAAAAATGAGTGATATAAAAGTAGCACGTCACATTTTTATGCAATATTTATTTTATCAGCACCTTAACCATTTTGAATGTTTCACATGTATGTGAGATTTGCAGTCAGAGAGGGGCCCTCAATTGCCCCGGGGGCGGCTGCCCTGGCTGCCCCTGGGTACAGTGAGATGTGTGTTGTGGTATGTGTGCCCACAGCAATTAGGGTTAAGGCTGATCCCAGATCAGCATGGGCAGGGTGGTTTTCTAAGAGAAGTCACATCAAACTGCTCTGAGTACTTCAGCACGGTCGCTATATTTTTGCTTTTATCTTATAAATTGTACCTTATTTTAAATATTTTTACTGATGAGGTAAGTTATTTTTAGGGCAATTATTCACTGTATTAATAAGTGAATGAACCGTGATGTACTTGGGAGTGTGTGAGTCTGATATAATGCTAAGTTTTATCACCAACTTTAATTTCTTTTTGAGTTCTTGCCAGAGTTACAAATTTCGCAAAGCCTGGGACTGGATTTATGTCTCCAGGTTGGGATCAATATAATCACACAGGAAATTTTATAGCTGAGTGAGATAATTGGATGTTATAAACAAAGAACACATGTACATTTCAGTGATTGCTTAAATTATTATGTTTTAGTTTATATACTTTTCTAAGCCTAACCCTAGCATCAGATTCCTCAGTTTGCTATCTCTAACCCTACCCCAGGCTATGAATACCACGTTATATTGGTTTTTTTTTTGTGAAATGAGCTCCTGGATTTTGTATTTGTGTGTTCTGTTGGCCCCGATCTCTTCCATATCTCTCTGTCCCCAGGAAATCTGCATGCCCACAGTGACCTGCAGCTCAGCAGTGTCTCCCTCTGTCAGGTGTTTCTCTCGCCGCTGTCACGCCAAAGCCCCCCGTGTGTTTCCTGGGGACACGAGCATCCTCTGAGGTAGTGCGTCTATTATCTGCCTCCTCTAATGTGCCAACGCCTGGTGTCTGGGCTGCGTTACCCTGTCGGCTGGCATCTGCCTGGTAGCCCTGCATCTCACTGTACATTATACGCTGAGTGTGTATACGACCCGCCATCTCCTGAACGGAACTTCCTTTGTTTGTTTAATGTCTATACAAATGCATTGTTTTTGAGAATGTCCATTGTTTTCAAAACCTACTTCCAAACCAGTCATTCTGATTGTTGAAATTAACCATAGAGCAGGGAAGTGTGTCCCTGTCACTTCCTTTGTATCTGATTTTACCAATAATTTTAAGAATCTTTTTATGAAAATGTCTGCACATTTATGGTCATGCACTGTTATCTATTTATCTTGATTTAGACATATGTGCTTGTCACACAACATTTCCCCAACTCTCATTACAAGTACTTCAGTTTACGGCAAATAACGGTTCTTCTTTTTAGAAGACCGTGACGCGTCATTAAGCATCACCTGCTTCTTTTAAGCGCAGCGATGATTTGAACAGCCACTAGGGGGCATGAAGAACATTCATAATGTAATAAGTGGGGCTAGGCGGTCCCGTCCACCTCAAGTGCTTATCCTGGTTAGGTATAAACATAAAAATAATTTTTTACAAAAAATATTATACATAACATTGGTTTTTATGTTTTAAATGATAATCCTGCTATATCTATTCTCCATTTTAAAAAATATCCGCGCAAATGATACGTAATAATATGAACCGAGAATATATATACTGTAGATGATGCTTAATAATTAACTTAATAGTCTCGAAAGCAGTACAAAGTGCACTGACAGTTCGTCTATGATAACAGCGAGCAGTGCTGTTGGTCTGAGATGATTATGAAGTAATGAAAATTAAGTAATTGTTTCCTGTCATATACAGCCGGGCTACTCGTCATTTTACAGCTAGCGCGTCATGCATGGTAGCAAGCAGCGCTTTCCCGTTAAGGTGCCGCCACGCTGCGGATGCCTGCCTACAGTCCCCGTGCCGGCCTTGCGGGGGCGTCCTCTTATGTCGCTCATTTACATAGAGGCGAAGCTTTCCTCCGCTCCGGCTGCTGGATCCCTTTAGGGCTTTATATCGCCTAATAAACGGCGTCAGATGTGTCTGGAGCCGCGACAGCGGACGGCTTACGGGAGCGCAAAGATCTGCACTCTTCTCCAACCTCTCGTTTTCGTTTTCACTTCGTTTTTCTTTTATGTTTCTCATCCCCTTCCGTCTACTCTGGCAGCGGCAAAATAACCGTTTGATTTTCCCAGGATGTCGGTAGCCGGTTTCAAGAAGCAGTTTCACAAAGCCAGCCAGGTAAGCATCGGTCTGTCTATCTGGCTCCGATCGCTGCAGGCTGCTGTCACTCCAGGAATGCAGCGCACCGGAGGCCGGCCGCTGCTCTGCTTCCTTACTGTACAGCTGGATGCATATATAAATGTTACAAACGGCGTGCAAACAGCGTTTTCCCCCCGAAATACTTTTAATTGCACCTTCTTAATGCTGCTTATCTGTGTAGCCGTGCTTTCTGTCACTTACAATAAGCAGTTCTCCACTGGCAGGCCAGTTAACTTTTAAAAGGGCTCAAGCATGCGCTGCTCATACCGTGATAGTATAGAGATGCTGTATTTTATATCGGGAAAGCGTGACTCGAGTCCGGAAACAGGAAATAAATTAGAATCAAACAGTAAATATTCTTCTCCATGTTATTAGGAAATCGTAAAATGTGTTATTTAGAAATATAGTTCAGGATTGATAAAAGTCTTTAAGTGCTGAGATCGGTGATTTATGGACACACGTATATACGCATCTATGCATATACTCGCACCTCGTTTGAAAGGTGTTCTTTTGCTTTCTGGTTAAAGGACACAGCAGCTTGGAGACTGTCGACCGCAGACAGGCAGAGAGGAAATAAAAGTCTCTGTCTAACGTCACTGCCTGTATCAGTGTAGCGCCGTTATATCTCGTCCGGAACAGAATTGTTTATTCAGTGTTGAGATCAGATCTGGTTTAGTGACACGCTTCCCCTGTGTTCTACGATTCATCAGTGACTGATTATTTACTTACCGTTAGTCATTCCCGGTAGAGTTCATGCCAAATAGTGATTGAACCCACTTGGAATCACATCAGAGGATACTATTTTCCACAAATTGCCTATGTCGTGTTCATATTTTGTGTAGCGTGTGTTTACGTAGAACAAACATATAATACAGACTTAAATAAGGCTTCTTAACTTGAACAAGTGTCTGTTGTTAGCTTCTTGATGTCCCCTGTTTAACATGACGGTCAGTCACCTTGGGTATCAGGCCAATAACCCAATCGCAACAGTGACAGCTGCAATTATCCATAATCCTGAGGCCTGGCAGCTAAATGAGATTCTGGTTCATGTTTTGGGGGCAGCCTGTCTCGCTCATGAGGAAGGCATCTACACTGAAAGCGTCTGAATAATATATGCTGATGTTATGAAGTTATGAAGGTGCTTTGAGGAAATGTCACATCGTACATAATGGGTGGAGACACGCTCAGTCTGTCCCACTGCTGTGGTCACGGGTCCTTCCGTTTTCCTGGTACTAACCCTCCTGCTCAGTGTATCACCCATGTAGCACACAGGAATGTTCCTGGTAGCTTAAAGTGGCACGTGAGCCCATTGAGAAGTGGGTTAATCTTTTTCGTGGCGGCGGATGTCAGTCCACCCAGGAGACCCGCTGTCCCCGTTCCTGTTGTGCTTCCCCATATCAGCCTGTGTTGGTCGGCGTGTCGCCGAACCCTGGGTGCCTTGGAGGGGTCTTTGTGCATGTGAGTCTCCATTAATTTCTATAGGCATAACCCTAATCCCAACTGTGATGACGACCTTAACCCCTACCCAGCCCTAACCTTAACAATAAGGTAATGAACAAAATGCAAGAATTTTGGCTTCTTTAGTTTTTTTGATTGCAGTCACAGATTTTTGTAAAATTGAGGTTACCCTTGTGGGGACCAAAAAAATGTCCCCACGAAGTAAGCAGTTACAGGTTTTTATCGCATTGTGATGAAATCTGGTCACTACAATGTAATAATGACAAAACATTGTGCCTGGTGCATGTCAGGAAATCGCCTTGAGATACCTCAGATTTCTAGAATACCACTAAATTTGGGGCATATGATTTGTTAAACTCGTTAGGAATCGTCATCTACATGTATGTGCCTCATTAAACAAGTTAGCGGTTACATAACTGTCCTCTCGGTGATGTAATTATGGCTAACCCTAATCCATTTTAGACTGACTCATTTATGTTTCTTTTTTATAGTGTAATGAGTTCAATTACCTGCCTCTTTCCAGAGTTTATTTGTAGTTCTATATTTTTATATGTTTATGCTGTGCCAGCCCGCAGTCTGTCTGTCCATACACGTGTATATACAGAATGAGCTCCACGCAGCTTTGGGGACCCAGGTTCTTACAGGTTCTCCGGTTCCCTTCCATAATTCTGTATAACATGTCATTAGGCGATGTGGCCTTATTGTCTGCTCTGCGTCCCATCTAAGACGTCACTAGCTTTGCCTCTGGCTCAGTGTAACCAGGGCTGTAGCACCTCGGGGGAGGGGGGGTGGGGATCATGTCCCCCCCAAATAATTAAATCCCACAATGCCCCTCTGTGGATTCCTCGTGCAGTTATTTACTGCTGAGAAGGGACACCTTCCTTCAGGTCTGCATTTAGGTGCTTACCTCTGTGTATTAGTAGTCTGCGATTTCACAATATTAGATTGTGAACAAGAAAAATGTCTCCACAATAAGACACACAAGACAGGCTCAGAAAGGTGCCGACTCTGACAGCAACAAACATGAAGGAGAATTGTGATTTTTGAAAAGATCATGGCTTGTGATTCTGCCTGAAAAAAAATATCATGATATGATATTTTTGCCATATCAGCCACCCCCACCATCAGAAATGAGAAATGTGAGGAAAGGCCCCGTTATGTAACATCCCATACGCCTTGCTCGCTGCATGTGATTGGCTCTTTTTCAAGGAACATGGGAGACCGGTCAGATGCTCAGGAGGACCAGGGGCCGCTGAGTGAGGGGCCCAATTATCTAACTGTACAGCTGGGTGCCTTAAATAAGTGCATCCTTTTCTTTTTTAAAAGAATAATAATAATTAAAATAATAAATAATAAAAAAAGTGCATCCAGTTATTTCTTGTCTTGGGACTAGGGCACTGAGAACCATAGAGGGCGGGATTATCAGTATTATCGTTTACTGTCAGTCACTGTCTGACCTACTGTAATAAGAACCTAAACAGTCAGTTATTGCAAAAAATGATCCCCCCCCCCTTCTGATGGCTTCAGCTGTGGAAAAAGCCAGTACACAGTGATCCTGCTGTTTACAGCTGAGCTGTGATTTCAGCCATGGGTCACCGTAACAATGTGGTTAGCATTTCAAGGCGACTGAGATGCCCCCCCCCCCCTCGCCTCCACTGTGCAGAGGGAGAGATTAGTGGCACTTTGTGCAAATTACTTCTCAGTTTACGAGGAAGGAGAGCAGTGAATTTTGAATGCAGTTTGTCCGGTTGACATGTTGAAGCACCTGTTGTGTTGGGTTAGACAGATAACGGCGCTCCGGCTTGTCCTTGAAAACAACACGCTGTGATTCTCATCCGGCCCACTGATTGGTGGATGATGTCACACAACGTATTCCGGTCTCTGTTCTTCTCTGATTCTAGCTTTGGGGTTGCGTGGAATGAGGTCTTTGCCCGACGAAGATAAATGAGCATTTTTCTGTGGCGTTTCATTGGCTCACCTACTTTGGGTCAGTTTTGGTGACTGGGACGTACCTGTAGCCAGATTGGGGAGACGGGGATTAATTCTGTCCGGACAAACGAATGGTCTTTGCCCTTGCCGTCTGGAATGAGCTGCAACATCAGCGCTGATGACTGATATGAGATACTGACAGACGCCCCTGACAGGGATCAGGCAAACGCAGACTGACAGGCCAGGCTGGAGCGTGAAATCATAGGCGAAAGTGAAGTCTCTCCTTCCTGGCAAGCGGCAGGGTTGATTGCTAGCTCCTCTGGGCGATGGCTGCATCGCTTTTCCACCTGTAGTGATCCACACTCACACCGTCGCATGGCCTGGTGTACACGAGCAATCGGGGTTACACCACTGTGCCGGGGTGCTCGGCTAATGCGCATGCTAAGCTTAATTAATGCAGTTAAACGGAAGGAATTGCATGTATGGCGTGATTGATGGCCAGAGTTGGTAGTGAAGCGCACAGCAGATGGCAGTGAGGCTGAGCCCCGAGTTTGTGGAGCTCATCTGGCTTCAACAGCTGCTCTCTGCCTGCCACTGTGGTAATTTCTTCAGTTGAAAGCAGGCGACTTCCTGTCTGTGATCCTTCTCGCAGGAAGTCACTGTGTTGTTCTCTAGCCTGCTAGTCTAGCTCTCCCTTGATGTTCACTGTCTGTCCTCAGAACGCTTCGCTGTGGCCGTGCACTCTCTCCTACATTTTGACCCACAGGCAGTTTTTGCTATGGATTTTTTTTTTAAGTATCCCCCCCTCCCCCTGCTTATTGATGTTGTCATAACATTTGCATAAGTATGGCAGCGACTTCCCCTTTAAGGACCTTCCTGGTAAAAAGGTGGGTGTGTCTCATCCACTCAAGGGTCTCCAGATCATTGGTCAGTTTGGTTGGTGGGAGGGGCCACCGTTTGACCCTACCCCAGTGAAGAGTCTCCAGCAGCATTTGACAGACAAATGGTACAAAGTGTTCATATTTCCTCCGTTTTATGTCACTTTGGATTGAAATGCAGGGATACAGTACATGGTTTGCACAGTTTATTCTGGTGTGCAAATGTTGCAGCCAGTCATTGAACAGAAAGATTTACTTCCATTCAAATGCTTCCATCTGAATCACTTCCCATCAGAGTGAAACATCACTCACACCCGGTCAGAGGCATCATGTGGCTTATGGGTCCCAGTGGAGTGAAGATAGAGATGCAGTTGCTATAGCGAGAGGCTCGTTAGACTGGCCCGAGACACTGGCCCACCCCCCAGTGCTGCAGGATAATTGTAGCCAGAGGACATGATCCTGGATCCTGGGCCCGTGGCCAGAGGAGGCAGAAACGGGCACTGCGGGGGACGCCCGTTACATCAGGAGGGAGACATAGACTATAGACTAAGGCCCTAGAATGGGAGAAGGCGAAGTCAGGGGCAGACCTGAAGGAGGAGGTGCTGCTAAGCTCAGCCCCACCCCTGGGCCACCAGGATGTAGCACTGCTACTCTGCTGCCAGGCAGAACTTCCCTGCTGCAGAGCTCCGCTTCAGGGGGCATAGCTGATCCTTCCAGGCCATTTTTGTGTTCCTCAGTGAGCTCCACGCTCACCCCTCTGCAGTGCCCCCCACTGGCACAGAAATGACAAGTGAGATCAAGTAGAGCGGCATTCACTGACACACGGTCTGCCGTAATTAGATAGAACCGCAGAAATATGCGGTCGGTGCTGACACTGAGGTCACGCAGACTCTGCTGAGTGCGAAAATTCAATTCTGTCTGTGAAGAAAAAAAAAGGGAAGAAGAAACAGAGCCGTCCTCGCAGAAGCCTGTGTGCGTCCGGCTTCTGCCGTGTGCTTCCAAAGCGGCTCGCCAGTGTGTGCACTAACAACGGCGTCGCTCTGGGGTTACAAACATGGAGGAATTCCCCTTTAAATGGGTGAAGGTGACACACTCCACTGGAGAATTTCAAGACTCCGCGTATATTATTCATGCCACTGAAACAGGGCAAGAAAATAAAATATGCCAAAGAAATTCGGGGAGCAACAAATCAGTGATTATGAATTTTTAGAACATGTGCAGAGGGCCGCACCACTGTAATGACACTGACGATGACACTGAAGTGGTAAACAATGATTTACATGAGCTCCTTTACTGACTGGGTAGGTACCTCAGCAGAACCGGGAACGAAGCCGTTTTTCCAGGAGATGGATTGCTGGTAGCGGTAGGGGTCCTTCAAAGCAATTAAAAAATGCTCTGTGTTTCGGGTGGGGGTCGCAGTTCCTATGAAACCGCGCAGTATCCTCGTTAGCTGGGTGAAGCACCATCCCCACCCCCAGTCCTCACATGCTGCGGCTGTAAGGTCACCTTTCGTCCTGGCGCCCTGCGTGCCATTTACACACGCCCCCCCCCAATCACAGAGTACCTTAGCCATTGGGAAGCCCCAACAGATGGAGAAATAAATGTAATTGAAACGCAGTGGCTCTGGTGGTGCTGACCTGTTTTTTTAACAGTCCTGTGGGTCCCACCGGCCTCATTTGGGGCAGCGTGCAGACAGGTCACTGCCCAGGTGGCAGTGTGATGTCATGGGGGGGGCAGATGAAGCTCGGCGCCCTGATGCCTCCATCCCCCCCAGTCAGGACAGACACAGGCTGGGTGTTCCTGCGTCCTTCCTGCGGCTAACTGGAGCACATCCCTGTGGTGCCCCCCTCCCTCAAAGGACACGCAGCCTCTTAACCATCATCTCTATATTTAGCCTGTTCCAGCCTGTGCGGAGCTTCCAGCTGCACTAACACTGCACCAGGAGGGGGGGGGGGTTCTCTCTTTTTTAGGGGGTACATTTCTGTGTTTAAAACCTGGCTTGCTGTTATTCGGAAGGGCAGCAGATTAAGACAGACTTGCGTCCTTCATCCAATTTTCGTAAGAGGTTAAAGATTCAACCTGGTGTGTGGTGAACTTTCTGATGGGGAGTAACCTTGTCATCCATCCGTCTCCCATCCGCTCCCAAGGCTGGGGGGGGGGCACAGGAAGCAGAGGGCGCATGACAGGGGTGCAGCCTGGATAGGATGCCAGTCTACAACAAGGCACACTTAATTCAGACGTGCTAATAAGCCCTAGCAGCTTTTGTAGTTCCTAGAGGAATGGCGCACGACCATGGTGAGCACGTGCAGATGCCACAAAGGAATCGAAGCCCCAGCTCTGGAGGTCCCACCTGCTGGTGTCTGGGTTCTAATACTCTGGTGCCAAGACGATTGCCTGCACGTTCCTGAGGTGGGGAGCTCTGGTCGTGGCCCAGTGCCTTGTACTCAGGCACTGGAGCAGATGCAAACAAACAGGCCCTTCTGCCCCTACTGCTCAGCATGGTGAACCCCTCCACTATGTCCAGCTCTGGGGGGAGACACCACAGAGCTGTATCTACATCACCTGCCCCCACCCCACCCATTTCACCATGGTGTAATGCCTCACCGCTCTGCACGGAGTGGCTATCGCGGGGTGCGTCTCATGAGAAGCTCATCCCTGTCGCCTTCACGCTCAGCTGGTGTTCAGGGGTTTAACGCAGCTGAGTCACCTCTGGCATTTGCTCAGCATGAGACGTGATGCTTTTACAAGCTGAATATGGACGTTGTTCTTCGTGCCTTAGCCAGATGTGAGGAAATAGGCGGCGACGTACTGGACCTGGAAGTTGGATTTGCATGCTACAGCTTTCAGAGTTTACGAACATACAGAAGTCAATACAAACACCAATGTTATTCTGCTTAGAAAAAAAGTGAAAGCTCATGAAGCCTCAAGTTGTCGTCTTGTGTTATTTCATTAAATGTCTGGAAGCACTGCCATCGGAGAGATCTGATTGGTCGTTTACTCATTTGAGCCCCCCCCCCCCTTAAGAATCTGCGCTTTGGGGCGAGACAGTCGCATTAATTTCACGAGTCTAGTGCGGAGAGGTTACGGAGATGGAAAGTGGTAACCCACTGCCCGCCTGTAGCTGATAAACAAGGCGGCAGAAGTGAGACGTGGTGTTATTTTGGTTTTAAACCGAACGAAAAGGGTGAAACCACAAACCAGACAGACCCGGTACTGTAACGCTACTGCAAGGGGGCAACACGGCTCTCGATCACCCTGAATTATATTCGGAGTTGAAAGACAGTCAGGTGTGCATGATAACAGATATAAGACACATGGTAATGTAATTTAGCGTTTATATTGTCCTGTGTTTCCGTTTAAAGTCATGTTTAGCCTACATGCGAGTTCATTCATATCACTTTTCTCGACAACGAAAAGCATAGGGACACACATAAATATAACCTAACGTTAGTGTATTATACGTGCGGTTTTTTAACAGCTGAAACCAAATTAATATCGGAATGTATGCATTGCATGGAGTGCTATTAATCTATGCATAATTCTCTATGGTGTAGCCTGATGTTGCCGTTGGTTTAATTCATAATGCTTAAATAGGATTGTTTTACAATATCAATTTAGTACTTATGTCGAGGACCCAAAGCTGCTATCGGCATTCGAAGTCAAATAGTTGGTGTCGATCCAGCTCCAGTGTTTATGCATATGTTCACGTGAGCGTGAGGAACTCGGGTCGCTAGCCGCAGCGCCCCCTGCAGCCCGAGTCTGACGGCGTTCTCACCGCGTCCTCCCGCAGCTGCTGAGCGAGAAGATAAGCGGGGCAGAGGGCACCAAGCATGACCGCGACTTCGTGACGATGGAGAAGGTGAGAACGGCGTTGCCCGTGACACAGCAGTCACCGCAGTGATGCGCTTCACTGGCGCCCACTGCTGGATAGTTTGTCCGTTTGACCCTTTCCCCAAAACTTTCTGTTGTTATCGCAGAAGATCGATATCACCAGCAAGGCCATTTTTGATCTGCTGTCTAAAACCACAGAATACCTCCAACCAAATCCAGGTATGGCATCAGCTGTGAAAGCCTGTTACACCTTCAATACTTTTCTACTTAACATACTACTACTATTAATAATAATAATAATAATACTTTAAATTTCTCAACCAATCAATCAACACATTTAAGGTTTTCAATTGTATTTATTTGTCTGAATTTATCGTAATTGCATTAAATTGTCTTCTGAATTGTAATGTGGTGCGCTCGATCTGTTTGTCTCTTCCTGGCAGCCTACCGAGCCAAACTGGGCATGCTCAACACGGTGTCGAAGATGCGGGGGCAGGTGAAGACCGTGGGATATCCCCAGACGGAGGGCATGCTGGGAGATGTCATGCTCCGCTACGGCAAGGAACTGGGGGAGGACTCCTCCTTTGGTGAGTGACCCCCTGGGTGTTCCCAAGGGGGTCGAAAGGTTCACAGAGATGCAGCATGGATCGTTCTGCAGTGAAAAGCAATTCCTCTCCTTATGTAAACACATACATGCCCCCTGGTGGCTAGTTAGGGTATAGACTTCCCTAAAATTATTTCTCCCTCAAATCATTGGCTGTACAGAAAAAGCACATTACTTTTTCTCAAATAATCCTATAGCAAGTTTTTAACAAAATATAGCTTACATTGTATTAATTTCAACAAGCATAAGGTAAATGAGCTGTGTGATTTTTATGTATTTAGCTGTGAGCCAACAAAAGTCAGACCGAGCTGAGAGCCTGTATGACCAAGTCTCCTGGTGACCTGAGCTGTGAAATCCCACCAGGTTGTGCTCTAGTCGACGTAGGCGAGGCAATGAAGCAGATGGCCGACGTCAAAGACTCGCTAGACATCAGTGTGAAGCAGAATTTCATCGACCCATTGCAGTCACTGCAGGACAAGGAGCTGAAGGAGATTGGGGTGAGCCTGGCAGGACCAGACGCAGGGGCGGGGCTCACTGCCTGGTGGGCGGGACCGGTATCTTTGGTGGGCAGGCTCTCTGTCACGGAGGGCGGGGCTCCCATCTCTGGTGGGCGGGCCCTCTGTCACGGCGGGCGGGGCTCCCATCTCTGGTGGGCGGGCTCTCTGTCACGGCGGGCGGGGCTCCCATCTCTGGTGGGCGGACCCTCTGTCACGGCGGGCGGGGCTCCCATCTCTGGTGGGCGGGCCCTCTGTCACGGCGGGCGGGGCTCCCATCTCTGGTGGGCAGGCTCTCTGTCTTGGTGGGTGGGACTCCCATTTCTGGTGGGCGGACTCTCTGTCATGGTGGGCGTGGCTCCCATATCTGGTGGGCGGGGCTCCCATCTCTGATGGGCAGGTGGAGTTGCTCTGTCATGTTGCAATGGGTTGGCCGAACAGGACCAACAAGGGTGTGACATGCGGGCTGTTGATTACAGCTAATTGTTTGGGGCCTGTGGGAAGAACATGTGGATGTTGGCCAAATGCTGGAAACAGATTCCAACTACAGCCCTTTATTCACCCAAATGACATCCAGGCATCGATCTCCATTTCTCCCTGAAGCTTCTATAATTATCCCAGACCAGTCTAGATGCCCGAGGAGCAGGATGTTTGGTCACTGTGTGTGAGTGGCTGGTCAGGGAAATGGGGGGGAGGTAGATGGTTACTGATCTACCGAGCGATGCTCCACATGGAGATGTTCCAGGTGGTTGTTAGTCGTCTCTGTCTTGGGTCACAGCACCACCTGAAGAAGCTGGAGGGCCGTCGTCTGGACTTTGACTACAAGAAGAAGAGGCAAGGGAAGATCCCCGAGGAGGAGGTGCGGCAGGCTGTGGAGAAGTTTGACGAGTCCAGAGAACTGGCTGAGAGGAGCATGATCAACTTTCTGGAGAGCGACGTAAGTCGCAGGCATGGCGCATGAGATACTGAACCTGTGGCATCACTCTCTCGTTTCCATCTCGGAGAGCTTCAGCTGTTTGTCTCCCTGCCATGTTTTTTTTTTTGCTTTTAGATCTCCTGGCATCTCGGTAGGGCCTGACTGTGGGTTTTTTGCCACTAGGTGGAGCAGGTGAGTCAGCTTGCTGCACTGGTAGAAGCTGGTCTGGACTACCACCGCCAGTCATTGGAAATCCTGGAGGAACTGAACAGCAGACTGAAGAGCAGGTGAGAAGCCTTAGGAGATTTTCTGTGACGCGGAAGACCCCTGCTTGCTCACTGAGCTGTTTCCCTTGGGTTTGTGGCATTAGGGAAGCCACAGCTGACCCCAGCTTCTCCTATCTTATACCACCTCCCCCAGGATATCTACGGAAAGCCACCGTCCAAAGAAGGAGTTCAATCCAAAGTCTGTAATGAGAAGCCTAGAGACCATCGAGAGCCTGCCCCACAACGGACTGTCGTACAGCTCATCAGTCAAATCCACAGGTGTCTCCATTCGTCTTTCCATTTCTGAGCTGGCTAGGTTGACATGTCACATGATCCTCATGATCCTCAGCACTTAGTTGTGTCTCCTCCTGAGTGGCTAGGTTGACATGTCACATGATCCTCAGTACTTAGTTGTACCTCCTCCTGAGTGGCTAGGTTGACATGTCACATGATCCTCAGCACTTAGTTGTACCTCCTCCTGAGTGGCTAAGTTGACATGTCACATGATCCTTCAAACTTGACTGCTCCACCTTCTCGGTCCCTCTTTAATGTCTCCGTTTCAGTAAGCATTTAGGGCCAACCTAGTGTGACTGCTCACTGACAGCACGGCTCAGTCGCACTGGATGTGGATTTACTTTGAAGTATATTTTATTATCCAGCAGTATTTATGTTTCAAAGGGGAACACGAGCACTGTATCAGTTCTGTTGTAACACTGAATGTTTTCTACTATGAAAATGCTGTGTGCCCTCTTGTGGCCACAACGAGGTACAGCTCCCTCAAAGAATACACTGGTCACAATCATTTTCCTATTTTGATGTCAGCTTTCTCTGTCAGTTACTGTTAAGTGTTGTCAGACACACTTTGGTTGGGAGCCAATTAGCTCATTGCTAATTGTGTCTCTGGGTTTTTATGACGATGAGGATTGCAGCGGCAGGTTTACAGGAATGTCCTCTGTGGAGAAGCCCCTCTGCTCTGTGGATCACCTCACAGTGCTGTCCTGCAGGAGACTCTCCTGTCGTGTTAACCCCCCGAGTCGCTAACACATCTCTCCGTTTGCTGCAGGTTCCCTGGTAAACCACACCGTCAATGGGAAAAGTAGGTATATCGGATTGAGGACGAACCTGTGGTCAGTCATGAGTTCACCTGAAAATTGTGGGACCACCAGTAATGTAAAAAGCAGCCCGATGGGTCGCTGTGCATTGGCTCCGCTGAGCCTGTTATCCTCACTAACCTGCACCTTCTGCTTTTCACCTCACGTCTAGATGAGCTGATCTCTTCCCCGCCCCTGATATGGCCAGACAGCCCCCAGACTGACCGTGAGTATCCGGACATCCCGCTGGTCCCAGCCCTGTATCAGTCATGACTCTTCTTACCTCCATCGAGGTCTCTCCTCTGAGATCTTTAGGAAAGCACTCAGTTGTTCATAATAATCCACTCTTTGTTCTGGTGGCGTAGACAGATTAATCAGTAGAGGTCACCTGTATTACTGCTTAACGAGAATTAATGGATCAGAGCTGTGTTAATGTGCAATACATCTGTAAGTAAACCTGTCTGTTTTATTAATTACCAAATTACCTGGGATCATGGCCTTACGACGGTGGTTCCCAACAAGGTCACCGGGGGCCCACAGTAGGTCCCACGTTCTTGTTCCTTCCCAGCTGCCCACAGACAGTCCCACGTTCTTGTTCCTTCCCAGCTGCCCACAGACAGTCCCACGTTCTTGTTCCTTCCCAGCTGCCCACAGACAGTCCCACGTTCTTGTTCCTTCCCAGCTGCCCACAGACAGTCCCATGTTTTTGCTCCCTCCCTGTCTGTGGGTCCCAGAGAACTGGACCGGGAAACACTGCTTTATGGTGTAACCACGCTTTCTGGAAATTCCCGCCAGTGAGCTGTGACTGTGCCCCGGCAGATTCCGAGGCTCCCCTGGACCAGCCGTGCTGTCGAGCGTTGTATGACTTCAAGCCGGAGAACGCGGGTGAGCTGGGCTTCAAGGAGAGCGACCTCATCATCCTGACCAATCAGATCGACGAGAACTGGTACGAGGGTATGATCCACGGCGAATCGGGCTTCTTCCCTATCAGCTACGTCAGTGTCATCGTGCCGTTGCCGCAGTGACCGCTGGGCCACTTGCTGGAACCTCTGCTCTCGTCTCTCTCAGTTCTCAGTATTTTTTAAGAAATATATCTTATTTTTCAATATTTATGCGCTCCTTTTTGGAGCGTGGAGCTACCTGTATGTGTGTCATTTGGGAACTTGGCATCTGCTTGGTTGGTATGTCTCCGCTGTCGCCTTCCACTCTGCTGTCCTGCTCCAAAGCGTCACTCATTCTCTCCTGCCTGCTGCCATCTTAGGTGTTATTTTTAGACTTTGAATGGAGGGGACAGACCTATCATTCTGTGAATGTCCTCTAGGCCCTCTGTGTTTACATGCCATGCCCTGGTGTGATGCAGCACACCTGCCCGCAGTCACTATGACAAGCTCAGTACTGAGCAGCATTTTCTGTCCGCTTGTACTCTGCTTTTTAAAAGCTTATTTATTGCCTCTCGTTTTGCACTGAAGCCTTAGACTGTTTTACGGACGTTCCGTTCCTCTTCTTTTATAACATTGCACTTTCATTTGCTCCCATAACAGAAGGAAACTCTTTTTACAAATTCTGTGTATTTACTGTAAGTTTCCTGTGTAGGGAGTAGAAGAGGTGGGTTCCGCTTGTACGTTAAAGTATGTTATAATCATCGTGCTACAGAATGATGGATCTGCGGCGGCCGCTATCTACTGTTCATGCAATAATGCTGTCACATTATGCAGTTATGTTATATTAATCTCCCTACCCAAAATTATGCCAAATTATTAACATTATTTTTTTAGGAATATGACCACGCGTTTGCATCATTCAGTACGAATAAGCAAGTACAGAAATTAATTTACCTTAATGAATGGGAAGCTATTCGGTTTATCCTCTAAACAATTATATCAGAAAATAATATGTGTGCTATGTTTTTCTGGGTCAGCGTAGAAAAATATGTTTATTAATCTTGATCCATTAAAACTCAGTTGCTAGTCAACATCAGGTAGAAAACATATATATTTTAATGCATTTTAAAGTAAAGTTTTTGCCAGTGAGCAGAGTCTGAGTAAAGTAATCCATATTCTACTGCGTAGAGCAAAAACAGCTTCAGCAAAAAGCGAAAAATCAACTGAAGTAGAATGAAGGCCATTTAATTACACGTGCAGCTACTGGCTGCTGAATCGCTGTGAGGATCCTTGCCATTATGTCGTCATCTTCTGCTGTTATTTATAAAATCGACGGGGCTTTCATTTGTCTATGAAATTATTGCAATGCACGACATAACTTTTTATTTTTTCTGTAATTTATAGAAAGTGTTCTATAAGCGTTGTAAATGATTATATAAATAATATCGGCTGTACTGTGTAAATAAACGAATATGCAGTGAACCCATTGGCTGAGAAGTGCTGTATAATTACTGTTGATATCTGCTTAGTTTCTCTCTGGTGGTGTCATGATGGTTTTATTGTAAAAATCAAACAGACTTATTGGTGAATTGCCGCGGCCGTATCGGGCCGGGGATGTGCGCCGTCTCCATGGCATCTCCCACAGCAGCTGACTGAGTCATGTGACAAAGAAGTACTTTGTATTTTCATGATGAAGGGTGTGATTTTTTAAAATCAGCATATTGAGTGTTGGTGTGAATGTGTGTGTGTCACTGTAATCTGGGCACACAAGAGCCGCTCTTTCAGACGCACGCTTTTCAGACGCCTAAGGCACACACTAGCAAGTGGCCACTGTTGTTGTAAATGTTTACATTCAAAAAATTATTTTAAAAGCATTTTGACAACCACAATGTACCTACAGTATGTATTAATACTTTCGATGCCCTAACCCTAAATGCCAAGATATCCACCACAAAAGAAAAGGAAGATAGTATTGATCTGACTGCTGTAACATTTATTACAAAAATATTGCAGTGGCTGCTCTTTATTAAATCCTCACCGCCCCTGCAGCTGGCTGAAGAAGGTCTATCTGTCTCTAGGAATAAATGAGTAGTTTATGTATTAGGGCAGGGGCGGGTAATCTTATCCACAGAGGGCCGGTGTGTATGCAGGTTTTTGGGGTAACCTTTAGGTCTGCTGTTCAATCCTCTGATTGCTGATCTAATTAGGGAGTTGTAGCAAAAACCCACAAACACAGCGGCCCTTTCTGGATAGGATTGCCCACCCCTGTATTAGAGGGACCGTTGCCTGTTTGCAGGAAGTCTCCAGTAGAGGGCAGCCTGGTGCCCAGCAGGGCCAGAATCCTCATCAGAAACAGCAGAGTAAGGCAGAAGGAGCAGGACTGCCACAAAGTTAACAGGTAATACTGATCAGTGCTATCTAACCATAAGCTCAGAGAGCCCCCCAGCATTGTATTCTACCCAAGGTCCCGAGATGTAATTATGACTGGGTGACTCGGATCTTTTTTTTTAATTGATTAATTGTCATTGTTGACACACCACAGCACACAGTGCACAACAATGAAATGTATCCTCTGTATTTATATTTATATGTGATGTCGTGACATAGCAGGGGGTAGCTAATTCAGCACACGGAGAGCAGTGCTTGGGGGTGGTACCTTGCTCAGGGTACCTCAGTGGTGCCTTGCTGGTCAGGGATTTGAACCTGCAATCTTTCAATTACAAGTGTGCATCCCCAACCATCAAGCCACCACTGCCCACCATCTTCCTCGGGGGTTGGGCAGGGCGGCATTGAGGAGGAGGTGGAAGATGGGCTGGAGTTGAACACTGTATGAGGTTCCTAAGCGAAGCATATTGAGCAGGATCATTCAGCCACTTGACGTCGTGCAACAGAGGCTCAGTCACCAGATGAACCTTCATAGCCAGAACTGCTGTGTCACTGCGCTTGATGTATGACTGGGGGCTGCCGGTCCTCCCTATGGTAACACCTGCATTTGTGTAAGAGCAACCATTTAATGCCAAGAAAATGATGTGTCCTATCATTCATAGCATTGATTTGTATTGTTATTTGTGCTGAAGTCACCTGGTGTCAGTTTTTTGGGTTCCCCTGGGTTCTCCTAACTACTAAACAACTTTATTTGCTCGTTCTACTCTGGTCTGGATGGGCAACAAAACTATGTGACGCAGGGCCTGGTAGGAAGTGAGTCTTTTTTTGGGGACAGCATCCCTTTCAGGGGAATTAGGGTTAGGGGTCATGGTCTGGACAAGAAGGGATAAGTGAACAGGAAAAAATACAGCTGCTGTTCCGGTGGGAGCTGAGTAGACGGACCCTTGCTGAGGTCATATCGGCTTCCTACCGGTTACTAGGAGCCCGTTCTGTGTGCCATTTTGTACCAATCAGGAAGAGGAACCGCTGGAACTAATCAATATGCCAAACTGTAGTCAGCGAACTGGCCTCCTGAGACTGACTCACCCCCACAGGATGTGTGTCTGTCCGGATGTCACCAAGGGATGTCGTGTTGGGCGTGGCGGTGGCCCCCCATGACTGTGCCAGCGCACTGGCTGCTTCAGGATGTTAGGAGTCTGCAGTGACTTTACTCGCCTATCCACACAGGCTAAGTGCCGAATTAATTTCAGAAATGCACAATTTATTTGTGATAAAATGAGAATGGAAACATAGGGAGTTCATCTCCTTGGAAAATGACCATGATCGATTTTACCTCACCAAAAAAGCCTGGTTTAAATAGAGTACTTAGCTTATCTTGCTAGTTAACGTAACTAACGTTTACTGTACCGATGTTCTGTCGAGTTGAGGTACTTTGTCGAGGTAATCTATGGTTAGAGCTATCGATTAACACTACGGTAGATTACCTCGGCAAAGTAGCTCAACTCGACAGAACACCTTCCTCAGAAGGACAATGGTAAGTAATTCAACTTATAAAGACGTCAGCTTGCATTAGTAGATGAAACACTTAAAGGAATAAATGAAGGTTGTAAAATAACACATTTTCAACAGGCCAGACTTCTGCTGGCTACTCACATTGACCAACGCACGACAAACAGTACCATGACAAAAACACAATGAACAGGTCACTCAATGAGAATGCATGATGCAACCGACTGGCTGCTTCTAGCGCCGAGGTGGTTAAAATGGTACGGTCCACATTAGGGGTGTCTGAAATCGTTTTACATAAAATTTTCCTACAAGGTGAGGTTATCTCTTTATTTTTTTTTACAACAAGAGAAAAATGTTAAGACCCCCCCCCAAACTGCTATTTATGTCTCTTTGGGGGGGTCTGGGTCTTGATCGGGGGGTACAGTACCCCCTAGTACCCCCCGTAATTCGAACCATGGTTCAGAGTAAGACTATATAAGGGGGAAAAATTTAAACAAAGAATATGATCCTGCGAATTTTGGTAAAATGTGTTTAATAAAATGTACTGGAAACAGATTTTTGGAATTTCCCCAAAGAGGGTACATCTTCCAAGGCCATAATGAGATCTTAAGAATGCCAGTTTTGTCTGTCATTCGCCGTATATTTTATTGCCAATTATTTTAATAAAGCCAAAGAAAATAACATTAACATGTTCCCTTTGTCAAGCTCTTTCCAATGCAGTAGGGTTTTGGCTGACTGAAATGTAGATTTAGTGTCTTCCATGAGTCTGAAGGAGACATCGTGTTGTAGTGAAGGTTTGTTTGGAGGGCAAGAAGGGAGGCCAGAAAAGTGGCCGCTTACTCTGCCGATCAAAGGAGTCGGGGGCCAAGTATCCTGCGGACCCCAGACGTTACCCTCAGCCCGCCAGATTCCACTATTCACAGCATCTTCTAAAATAAACACTTTGGTTGAACCACCTCTTTCTGTATGCTGCTTACCGGCGCCTATGTATATTCACATGAAATGCTTTCCTTGGCTGCGTGGCACAAGAGTTGTTGAGACCAGGAGTCTCTCGGAAAGGTTTGCAGAACGCAAAGACAGCGCGAAGAAGCCCTGCTGAGTTCTTGCAGTTTATCTGGGTCTCACGTTGTCCTCCAAGAGGCATGTAGCTTTGAAGCAACAGCAGAAATGCTTATGGTCTTGTTAACGATTACTGTTATTTCTTTGTTTTCTTTTCATCTCATAATGTGGGTCAACTACACAAAGGTCACAGTTCAATCTCATTGTCTTCTGAAACAAGAAGGAGCTTTGTGCTGAGGAGTGAACATTTATTTTTGGTGACGAACCATGGTGTATATGTATCCTCGAAAACTCCAACACTTTGCCGGATATCTATCTGATGCTGAAGCACTGGAACAGAACTCCAGCCTGAACCCTGTATAACTTCTAAGCTTTGAAGGAGTATAAAAACCAGGTTCTGTCTCCATGAGAAGCAAATGAGAGTCTAAAGACTGAGGGCCCCAAGTCAAAAGTGATGAATACAAGGAGTAGGTAAGAGCCGCTGCATTCAATGTCTGAGTATCTTTGTGTACAGAGAAGCTGTTTTGTATGACTGCATGGTCCAGGCTCTGTCCCCTTGCCCACGGTGTCTCCCTGGAGCTCAGAGTAACCTCTGGGTCTCCCTGTGCTGCTGAGGTGGGGTCAGCTTTGGCCACCCCACCCTGTGCACTAATGGTTCTAATTAACAGCAGTTTCTCCATCTCTGAACTATTAATATCTTTAATACTGGAAAATAAACATAGTTTTTTTTTTTTACTGTAAATATTAGTTCAGCTTTTCATTGTAAGGATATAGAGAATATACGCACACATCGAAAATTGTGGCTTTATCAAGTATCCTTTTATAAATGATTAGTTGACAGAAAATATGAAATTGCATAGTTCTGTTATAATATGTAATATTATATATGTAAAAGAATAGCTTTAATGAGATTTATGGGTCTTATTTAGATCCCAAAACATCAGATGAAAGATTCTCTGCTGACCACTGACTTTTAATACCTCGGATATTAACATATCTAGGTGACCCAGTCGAATTTAGCTGGGGCTGGACTGTGTTTTTTTTAAGGAAGACTGTCATCAGAGCTAACATACCTGGGGCCAGGAGTAAAAAACCTGGGGCTAGGCGTAAAAAACCTGGGGCCAGGAGTAAAATACCCGGGGCCAGGAGTAAAAAACCTGGGGCCAGGAGTAAAATACCCGGAGCCAGGAGTAAAAAACCTGGGGCCAGGAGTAAAATACCCGGGGCCAGGAGGTAAATACCCGGGGCCAGGAGTAAAAAACCTGGGGCCAGGAGTAAAATACCCGGGGCCAGGAGTAAAATACCCGGGACCAGGAGTAAAAAACCTGGGGCCAGGAGTAAAATACCCGGGGCCAGGAGTAAAAAACCCGGGGCCAGGAGTAAAATACCTGGGGCCAGGAGTAAAAAACTAGGGGCCAGGAGTAAAATACCCGGGGCCAGGAGTAAAATACCCGGGGCTATAGCCCCGAGTGATCAGACCTAACGACGTCCATGAGGTCACTGCTCTGCTGTGTTAATACAGCCTGATTCATGCTGCAGGACCGTTGCTGTCAGCCAGTCATATGACATATCTAGGGCGTTATTCTTTTCTTGCTACAGCAGATATTGTCCCAAGAAAAATCCGTTTGTATTCGCTGTCATGCTGGGTGGATTTGAGGAGCGATTTGTTGTTCTGTGACTGTGGGAGACTTGCTATGGAAATGACATGGCAACCCAAAATCCTGCTTTTATGCGGATCCAAGTGTGACACGTCTGCATTCTGTTTACCCCAGAGTTACGCTACATGTCACGTTGTATCTCGCTTTTCTTAAGATGTGATGGTTGAAGGTGATTGATTAGCCCAGCTCAGCTTTGTACGTGTCACAGAGTGGTTTTCTCCAGCAGTCCAAAGACAGTCAGGCTTATGATGGACTGCAGAACACATGGGGACGGGGGCAGAATGCATTCCTGCTCAGGGTTAGGGCCCCCTCCCCAGCCCCTCCCAAACACCACCCATGACAGGCCCGGGGAGGCCCTTGGATCCATGGTCCATGATGCTAATTGGCAGACCCAGGTTTAGAAGCACAGCACCCTCAGATAAATGACCGTGATGTGGCTGGTGGAATCGTGCCCCCTCAGTCATTTCAGATGCACCCTTCGTTACTCTGGGCCAGGCACTGCTAATTGGTGCCCATAAATTACTCTGTGCCCTGTGATGGACTGGCTTTCCATCTAAAGTGTGCCCAGTGTGGGATCGGCTCCAAGACCATCCTGACCAGGTTACAGAGCTGCAAAAAGAATGGATGACGGACAGAATTAAATAGCAAGCAATGCTTATAAAAGTTGGCACATTTAAGAAGTTACATTAAAAAATGTTTAGTGCATTTATTTTTGTCTGAACAAAACAGCAGTTAAGGAATGTTCATACATATTTTTGTAGTTTTGCAAATGTTGAAGTAGTCGCTGTAGTCCTGTTTATCAAAAATGTGTTATACTGGTTAGCATATTTGCTGGAGAAATAACTGGTTAGTTTATTTAACAAAAGCATTAAGGCTGCACGAGTATATGCAGCAACTATTTGAGTCCTAAGGTATGTAAGGATCTGTAGTTGCAGTGAATAAATGAGACTGTGATTGGCAATATCAGGGCGCACTGTCTTATAAAGGGAACGTTCAGGCTGTGAAAGGCGGCAGCTGGCGGAGTCTGTAACAGATTATATTTAGTTATATGATTTTGTGAATGGAAATCATCTGGAATTCTGGACACTCGCAAATGAGTTTGCCGTCTGTTAACCTCGGCGTTTGTGGGACCTGTTCCTAACATCAGACATTTGGCAATAGAGAAAATACTCTGACATCTGGACAGGCAATTACTGTCAATAAAGCCAATTATTTCTGTAAAAAATAGATTGAGCAGGTACTTTCGATAACTTGCTGAATCTGTATCTTGTAAATGAAACGCACACACATACCTGTCATTATTAATAACAAATGGTTACATTAAACTGTTCTGTAATGTACAGTACAATATTTAATCCTATATCAAATCAAATTCACACTGACGTTGAAACACAAAATGTTATTTTTCCAGTATGACGTTAATGCGTGAAATAATCGTAAAGATTTTCCGTAGGTCAAGAACCACGAATCAGGTGGTGTTACACGCAGCATCGATAGGGGGAGCTATATACGCGTAATTACTTCACAGCGTCAGCCGCTCTGTCAAGCTGACCGTGCCGCAGTCAAAACCTGACTTCTGATACTGAACTATACGTCTTTAAAGTTCATAGCCATAATCGAAAATACGTTTTATGAACTCAACACTTGTTGCAAATTCCCGGCGGCGGTGGGGCAGCTTAGAATAAGCAGGAGTGAAAAGAGAGGCACAGCAGCTCTAAGCAAACTGACTGCAGGACGGATCTGCTCTAAGGCACCGGGCTGGGAAGCAGGTGAACTGCGCCGGGGAGCCTCGCCAGGTGGGATGCATAACCAAGCAGGTCTGCGCTGGAAATTTCACGGATTGCACGCCAGCGTCGTAAAGACGAAGTTTTAAAGGTTATTACTAGAAACGCGACAATTCTTGATAAAAATATCGTGGCGCGTACTGTAAAATACGGTATTTTTACAAGTACCTTATTTTATGAACATTAGACAGTTATATGAACGTATGATATTTTAATAGGAACGGATGGCGTGTCCCCACATTATGAGGGGTGTGGAGCATCGCCTGATTCAGGGGGCCATGGGCACGGAGGGGCGTCCTGCGGTGATTAACGTCCCATCGCCCCGTGCCAGGCGTCAGTCGTCACCTGATAATAAAACGAGCGGCCGGCAGCCCCAGTCCGGCGTCTGAGAGCCGCGTCTCCGATCTCGCCGTCCGAGGCGCACAGGTGCTGACAAAATGTGCGCAATAGGGATGAAGTTGGGCTGCTGAAAGAATTCCGGAGATACTTAAGATGTTTCGATGTATTTCACATTTAACATTCCGACGTTTTCCGGATACGGTTTTGTACTGATTCATTCCCTCTTATGTATAGCCTAGGATTGCGAGCCACTGGAAAGACAGATTTTGCGAGGGTACGTTGCCACAGAGCACAGATATCTTGATTTGAGCTGGATATGCAGGATTACTAAAATTTGATATAGTTTTCCATTAGGTACACTACGCATTAAAAAAATCAAAACGGTGAATGTGCACATACTGTAACAAACCCTTTAGACTGATGCTGTTTATTAGCCTATAATTCACAATAATATAACTACCATGTAGCACAATTAACTTATAATAATACAGATGATGATCATGAAATTGGTTAATCGGGTGCGTGCACTTCTGTCGGCCGACGTATGTGTCCCGGCAGTGTGAGCCAAAGTCCCCCCCCCCCTCCAGCCGCTGGAAGCGCCCTCTATAAACCAGGGTGAAGCGCGTCCTCAGATCGCATCGGTCGTTTCATTAGTGCTAATGCAGCTTCCAGTCGAGCGGCAGAGCGGCAGGTTATTAGAAATTGAATTTCAGTAAGGCCGATTCGTGTATTTAATTTCAGTTTGTGTACATTTATCAAAAGACACGCATTGTGCTTTAATACCTCGGATCTTCTGCGGAATTTTAAATCTCCACCGAATAAAAAAAAATGCAGAAATTTATTTTGAAGATATTCGAGTGAAGGTAAGATCGGTGTTCATGTAAAAGATTTGGGTAACTTGTTTCAAATGCTACTTCACATGCGAAGTGTAAATACGTTATGGCTATAATTATGTCTAGATAATCGCAATTAACCTTAAATTAGCCTACATTTAACTTTTGAATCTATTGGTGAAAATGCAGGTATATGTTAATTATTTTCTATATTGTTTAGCCTATAAGATGTACAAGTGTATAAGTACTCAATCCAATCGATAACCGCATTTACTAATATGACGCTGTTTTAATTGAACTGTAAAACGGGCGAGTAAATGAACTAAAAAATGATCGAGTTCTGACAAGTTTTACAAAGTAACGAGAATGTATCTCCTCTATTAACATTTATTTTGAAAAAGATTAAAACCAGCATGATTTACGTTTTGGTGTTTAAATGGAATTCAGAAGGATTCGTATCTCCTCCAGCAGTGTAAATGATACGTACTGTACGTAGTATGTAACCTGGAACCGTTTTTCTTTATTTTTATTTTTTTACCTGTCGTTCGTATAACATAGCTTGTAATCGTGGATCTCACGTTGGCTGGGGGTATTAAGGGTTGCAGAAAGCGACTTAAATAGGTCTATACCGCAAAAACCCATTCTGGCGAGGCATCAATGCCTGGATTCGCACCTACTGCGGTTCTGCGTCGTACAAGTGCGATGTGCTGTATCTGCAGTCCGTGTTCATTTCAGCTTTTATTTGGTTGCTGTATCTTTTCTTATTTGAATGGCTACAGGAGGCACTGGGCATGGGCAGCGCTGTAGATTGCGCTGTGGTATGTCCTCCTTCAAAAACGCTCCAGCCGGTGAAATGCCAGTGTCTTATGGCACTCAGCGCTCATTATAAGACTAATGCAGCTAGCATATGTTTTGTATGATCACGTCTATTTTTGGCTTGGATAATCCTACCCAGAATGCCAGTAAATTAGTCTGAAATGGAAATGTAAATTGCGTTATCGTATAGTGTGGCGACAGCGGGCAATTTGTGCGCCTGGATTATTAATAAAGCCATCAATATTCGGCGGTCCCGTTTTACTGGTGAACTGTCTTCTTCCGCGGCTCTGCTTTCCTCATAAATTCCCCCTTGTGCTTCTGAGTCGTGTATTTCTGCAGCAGATGCCCCGATGATTTATAAGTCGCATGAACGTATTTTCTTAAAGCCGTCAGGTTAAGTGTCTTGCTCAGATCAGCTCCCCATGCGGGACGCAACCGTATTTTTCTCCCAGCTACAGGTTCCAAACCAGTCTGGTGCCTGTTACCGTCTACTTGCCTGAGCAGGACTGCGCTGGGTTGGGGCCGGGGGTAGTTCTGGCCGTGCTGGCCCGTTTGGGGAGAGCAGTGTGTGCCAAGGCGTTACGCAGACGCACCGTGTGCATACTGAGCAGAGTATTGAAAATAAACATTTGAAGTTTGTCCTCAGAAGTCTCTTGTAGGCAGCGCTGGCAGACCTGTTTTGACTTGATCGGCTTCCTCGTGCTGAGGACAACCGCCCAAGCTGAGGCTGGTTTGCTGATTCCAATTTTAGCAAGAAATACACTGGTGTTTCCTGTCATTTTTAACATGGCTGTGGGAACTCATGCAGAGTCCGGCATTCCTATGCCAGCACACTCTGAGGATGTGACTTTCGGTTAATCTTTACACATCCCCGGTTGTGGTCTCGCACGTCCTCGCACCCCTGCTTCGGCGATGTGAGCCGCACGGTGTTGACGCAGCCTCTCTTTCTGTAGGCCCCGCAGGACGTCTTGCGCGCAGTGGCCAGGCTGACATGGCACCCCACCCACCCTGTGGCTTCCCCTGGGGGCTCTGGCTGTCCCTGGCTCTGCTATCTTCTGCCTTACAGGTAGGGAATGTTGTGGGTCCTCTCACACCACAGGCAGCTGCACACTGGCTAGGTGTCATTCCACCAGACCACAAACGGCCAGTGGGTCCTTGTATAATCGATCTTGACGGGTATGGTGTTGAGCACGCCAGTGTGGCTCTGCTATGCTGCCTGGGATGGACACCCCCCCCCCATCCTAAAGAAACCCTAATGACTGAACCTTTTCATTGGCAGTACTCATATTTCCGCTGACAGTACTCGTAGTACTCATAATAATCATATTTACATATCAGGCTCGCAACCTCCTGGAGATCATGTCAGTGATACTGGCTCGTTACGAAGCTCATATTAATTTTAGAGTTTCAGAGACGGCATAACAAATCACCCTGTTCTCTTGCAGCGTTAATGTAAGATTCCAGGCATGGTCTGTCGAGACAGTTTCTTCAGAAAACCCACGATTCCATCTGTTCTTGTCAAGGGGATTGATTATGAACTGAAGCTACATGAAAAGCACTGTGTTTTTGTTTTTACACTGAATGTTTCCAAGTACATTACTGAATTTTTCTTTAAAAAATGACAATGTAATTCATAAAAATGTGTATAAAGATTTGTAAGTCAGTTGGGTAAGTATGAAACGGTATAAAACGAGTAGGAACGCGATGTATCTCTCAGGCCGTTCTGCGGTCGGGGAGAGGGCAGTTGGGGGTCACCTGTCCACGGGAGACGCATGTTCCTGAGAAGGGGCCCGCCAGACTCAGGGCGGACACAGCGCTCATTGTAGCCTCTAATGGAAGCACTGGCAGACGTACAAGGCCGCTGGATTCTGGGCACCCTGGACCTGAATCGGCACCCGGTGATAAGGTGCTGCCTTCCAGCTTCCGACCTCAAGATGGCGATCTAACGCGCAGCAACCATAGCCACCGCTGCTGTGGACACAAGGAAGGAGCTATTAAGCCTGGAGAATGGAGTCCTCACTAGGGTCAGCACTGTCACCGTCACAGATCGCTATGCTGGATGCCCTTAATAAGAGACCTTTTATTGTAGGGAACAAATATTAGATTTGAGTCACACATCCAGATCCAGTCAGGGCTGCTGATCTCGGTATTGGGCCCTTACTGAATATGCGGTGGTACTGTGAAGGTTACAATTAATGATTCTCCCTGTTGGCAGTCTCTGGCACAGTGTCTGAGACCCTGTGGTTCTGTGTTCTGGTCTGGTCCGGCCTGCCTTGGGAGCTGGGAAGCTGTTCTGTCGGAGCGGTTCTGATCACGGGCTTTCTATTTGCTCGTGGCTGATTGCTCGCGGTTTGCGATGCCTGTAACTGGACCCGAGTGATGATGGGATGGTGGGGTTGTCTGTGACGTCGGGGTGGGAAGTCGCCAGCTCGTACCACAGGCTTTTCCATGGATTGGACCAATCATGCGTGACCAGCCGACTGTTGTGAGCACAGGGTGCCTGGATATGGTAAGATTGCCCCCCCCCCCCTTTCAGGATGCTTAGCCTGTCCTGCTGGGCATCGTCACCGACATGGCCCACCAACCCTCCAGTTTTACTGTGGTATTCCAATAAAATCTAAAATTGGAATCTCATAACTGGTGCCTCTTTAAAAGCTGCGAGAAATGTGAACCACTTGGACTTTTTTTCCCCAAAATGAAAAAATCATTTATATGTTGGCATATTGATCTGTGTCCATTAATACTGGTTTATCCAGACAGTGGATTTCCCTGAAAATGGGAACAAAAACAAACTCCGTATAGCCCCCATCAGCAAAAGCTCACCTGTAAAACCCTGTAAATTATTGAGCCAGTTTTAATAGGAACTGAGGAGTCACAGACTGAAACCGTTGACGCCATACTCTTGCTGAGAGTAATTTGTTGTTGGGACACGCGCGTGTGCACACACACACACACACACACACACACACACACACACACACGCATGTAGGGTAAACGTATCCTTATGGGGACCGCTCATTCATTTCAATGGGAAAAATGCTAATGCTAATTATGACAACCTTAATCCCTGCCCTGCCCTAACCATAACCATAAGTAACCTAACAAAATACAAGAGTTTTTGCATTTTTAGTTTTTTCATAGCAGTCACCGATTTTTATAATAGAGTTTTCCCTTATGGGGACCAGGAAACCGGTCCCCATAAGGGAAAAAAACGGATATTTATCACGTTATGGGGACATTGTGTCCCCATAAGGATAGGTAAACCCGCTCGCACGCACACACACACACATGCAAAGCTTGTGCACTGTTGTGCAGATCACAGCTCATCCAGCTGGGGAACTTGGGCTCTATGAGCTGTAACCTGATGCTGCTCTTGTTTACTAAACCCATCAGCTGGGAAGTTGAAACTGACTGTTTCGTGACTGATGATGAACTGTGTGATTCAGAGCGAATGCCAGCCATCTCCAGTGTTATGTAAGTCGTGTATGAGGCTAGAAGACGGACTCGTCGCCTCGGTGCTGCCAGCATCTTATTTAACCATCGAAGCAAACTCATGCCATTGCATCTTCCAGCACAGCATCATGCAAATCTGAGACTTTGGACTCTCTGAGCCAGCGGTCGATGTGCCATATGGCAACTTTCTCTGTGGGCATGATCTTTGCTGTGCCTGTACTGCTGTTCAAAGGCAAACTCCAGCCCTCTGGAGAACCGTCAGTATTTAATCGGAAACAAAGTAATTTTGACCATGTGTTACAGGTATGTGTTATCTGTCTCCTTGTTCCTTTTGTAGAGTTTGGCATGTGTGGATTATTCAGTAGTGATTTTATTACATTTGGAATTTTGATTAATTTCATTGTTGTCTTTGTCCTGTTTTAGTGCATATTTTAAGTTTTGCCTCCAGCAAGAAATATTAACATGTCATTTTAATTCCTTGCCTTTCTTGAGAACCTAACCTCTATCACGCTTTGACAGGGCCAGATCCTGCGCGTATGATTTATCTGCCCTTCCTGGGCCCTCGCGCAGAGCTGCCTGTATTTGCAGCTCTACAAATAAAGTCCATGTAGCACTTAAATATGTTTCTTTTGACCGAAGCACCCCTGAGTTCTGCAAAATGATTCTGAAACAAAGCTTGATGAAGTGCACATGTCGAATGTTAGGGAGCCAGAATCTCTTGCTTTGGACTGATATCTCGAGCTCCACGGCCAACGAGCTTAATGCGAGTGCCTCTTATGGGCTTCTCAGAGTTGTGCGAATACACATCTGTGAATTTATACGCTGATCAACTCATGATTAGACTGTGGATTTTAGGAATCAGGTGTGTTACTGCATTTTTTGCATAATTGAACTTTCTCTTGGTTATGGATGACATACTCAGAAATAGTCATACTCAACTACTATATACAGTACATGGCTGTGAGAGCTACAGACCTTGGGATTGTGGGTGTTTTTGTAGCTGTCTTACTGAGGGTGCTGTGGACTATGGAGGTTGTCCAGTTTGTCTGTGGACAAGTGCGTGTCCAGCGGCCGAGGGAGTGAGGGCTTGTTCAGAGGCACTACACTTTATGCGAAGACCTCTCATTGGCCAGCTGGCTGAAGACATCACCTGTCACTCCAAGGTCATGCCTGTCAATCCTTAGTAACAGTACAGTTATACATTGTGCCACATTGTATGTCCTTGTCACATTAGGTAGTGTGTGTGTCATACAGAATGTTTTATGGGGCCATACAGCTGTTAGACAGAATCCACTCCCTGGCAGTCTGCGGTCATGCTAGATGATGATGGATCCTTTTTGATTTTCACCTTTCATGTTGACCCGTCATCCTTTTACTTACATTTTAAGCAGAAACTGGTGCCATGTGGCTCTCGGTCTCTTTATGGTTTTTGCCTCACTGTCCCGTTTTGTAACGCTCAGTGTCTCCAGGGCTGTGGAGCTGCTTGCTGTAAGATAAATCTCCAGATCTCTGCCTCTGTAAGAGAGCGATGACGTCTTCGTGTCACTCGGGGGGAGGCTGACAGATTGCACAGGCTGATTGTGGGGACTCCTGGTGTCCCCAAGGTCGATGGATGAAGTTTGGTGTCTTTTCTGAAGCCTGTGTAATCTCGTTATTACTCTCTATGTATTTTGAGGCTTTTACCTTCTCAGGTTTATTTCTAAATTTATGGATGATTATAAACTTTTATATGTAACCTATGAAATAGAGCCATAGCTGTTTACATGGCATGAAAACTCGATTGAGGCTGACAGGTTGCACCTCGCATCGCTTGCGAAGCCTGTGTGGATTGTGGGGACGTCTGACATCCCCAGGCCTGACAAATTTGCGTTTTGTCTCTTCCGAAGCCTATGAGTTGACTGTTGGGTGCCCCGGCGCCCTCGAGGCTGACAGACTGCGTTTTGCGTTGCTTCGATTCGCCGCACCTTTTGAGCCACTCCACAGAACCAGGACGGCCCTCCGGAGGGTGTTGGCTCGCGGGACACGTCTCTCGGTCTCCTAGCTGAAAGAATCTGCTGAGCAGTTGTGAAGAATAAGCACAGCTGTCAGAGCCGGGAATAAAAGAAGATCCACAGCGTGCCTGGGGCCATGCCTCCTGTGCTGTAAATACCAGGGGGTTTAGCTTGGCATAAATGTGTGTCCCTGCATGCCCCCCCCCCCCCCCCAAAAAAAAAACAGAATATTAGGGGATGTCCCCACAGCACAAAACTTTTTAAAGTACACATCTGTTTGCCATCTGTTTTCTATAGTATCTGCTGTTGATTCCAGTGAATTGAGAGCCAGTGGGGAGCCTTATTAGATATGTCTACTGGATGTGTGTGTGTGTGTGTGTGTGTGTGCGCGCGCATGCGTCAGGCACTCAAGGTCAGCATGCACCCACCTGGTCTATGTTGCAGCGAGTGACACTATTCTGTTCTGTTAGCTTAGCTGTTAGGGTATCCATGTTGCTGGTTTAGAGGGAGAGAGTCTCTGAAGGTCACTCTGTAAATACTAGCTTGTTAGCGTCAGCCCAACAGCGACAGTCGATGGGTGGGCCCCAGTCCATCATAGTGACAGTGAGTGGTGACTGGTGGGAACTGGCCCGGCAGTGAGACAGTGAAGGGCGACGGGTGGGAACTGGCCCGGCAGTGAGACAGTGAAGGGCGACGGGTGGGCACTGGCCCGCCAGTGAGACAGTGAAGGGCGACGGGTGGGCACTGGCCCGTCAATGAGATAGTGAAGGGCGACGGGTGGGCACTGGCCCGCCAGTGAGACAGTGAAGGGCGACGTGTGGGCACTGGCCCGCCAGTGAGACAGTGAAGGGCGACGTGTGGGCACTGGCCCGTCAGTGAGACAGTGAAGGGCGACGGGTGGGCACTGGCCCGCCAGTGAGACAGTGAAGGGCGACGGGTGGGCACTGGCCCGTCAATGAGACAGTGAAGGGCGACGGGTGGGCACTGGCCCGCCAGTGAGACAGTGAAGAGCACTGGCCCCTTAGCATGAGCGTAACGGCTAGGATTCATTAAAGAATATCAGGCTTTTAGTCTGACGGCATGGCTGTAAATCAGCTTGTCTGTTAGCAGAGGTATTTCTGTGGAGCTGAGGGCTCAGTCAGAGGTTTCAGGCCCAAAAGCGTGTGCATGCATGTGCCCTTTAAAGGGTGGTACCGCTGCTGGGACGAGTCCTCATCTTATGTATTTTTAGCTCCTGTCGTTTGTTTCCAAGGCCCTCCACACGGGCACGTTTGTTACGGCCTTAACGATATTAACATTTTTGCTCCGCCGGCTGCCTGCGGTCTCCTCCGGCACGCTGAGTGAGAGGAAGAGCCTCATCTTCTGGTTTAATACTCTCCACACGTTCATAAATCACCTTAAGCTGTGAACTCAATCAGTCTTCGCTGGAAGTCTTATGAGTCTGTGCCTCGCAAACAGCTAAGACACAATGGCGCCATTGTCCCGGGATGAGGTGGTTTCTCGCTTTTTCAGCCATAGGTCCGTGGGCGAGTCTCTTATCTGACAGAAGGAGGCTTACGAGCTGCGTGTATTAGTAGAGTGAAATGCGTTTGCCAAAGTCTTTATCATTGGAAAGTTCTCCAGAGAAAAATGCATTAAGCATTATAAGAATGTCCTCTCCATGCATACGGATGTGCTCTTTTGCTCCACACTTTTGTCGTCAGTTAAATATGAACGTATTTCATTTAATTTCACTTTAATATAATTTAACTTCCACCCCTTTACCATGCCCCGTCCTGTCCTCCTCGTGGCTTTTAGATGTAGCAGTGTGGCATCGTGAACGATGTGAAAAGGCCTGTGTGGACGGCGATCGTTTTCATTTGAAAACAAAAATGCAGCAGAGTGCAGTAGCCTGTAATTCCTCAGTGGGCTGTGGGTGTGGGAAGTGCATGGGGGTCACTCTCCGCACAGAAATGGGAGTCTGATGACTGATCATACGGTCGCCTCACCAAGCTCTCTCTCTCTCCCAGCCTGCAGAGAACGAGTCCCAAGACCCATCGGAGAGTGCATACTTCCTGCCTGAGTTCGCCCTGTCGCCCCAGGGCAGTTTTCAGGAGGACACGACCGGAGAACGTTTGCTGACCTATCGCCATGACGACCAGGTGAGTGCTTCCTGTCACGTGTCCTGCTGGCTCTTAGACACCCAGAGATGCACATGCCTCACGCCCATGATGCATACATGATGCATCACTAAGAGCATATCCGCTGATGTCCGGATGTGGGGAGAGGGGGGTGTGTCAGAACAGGCCATGCTGATTGTGAGGAAGGTGGCGCTATTGGTCATGGGAGACGGCCCCCATATTCAGCTGACAATGCCTGATTATATGGAGCTCCCTCCTTGCACTTCCTGTTACATCAGCAAGACCACTTCCTGTAATCCCGCCCCTAAACGGCGCAGTGTGCTGCCAGTGGCTGTGAGCACGAGGTCTCGGGTTTCTTTTTGCTTATGCCAACGACTGATAGTGACCTGATTTGCGTTGGGCTTTTAAGTTCGCGGTAAGTGGAGCCGGTTGTCGGTTCTCGCTGTGCGGGGGCCGTTCTGATCAGCATGGTGATTTCCCTGCAGGATTTGCCGTTGTTGATGAGAAGATGGAAGTGATTGGCTGTTTAGTCTCTGAGTCCGCGCGGTGTTCCTCCCACGGCATCCCAGAATGCCCCATAGCTGGCAGGCAAGAGAAGCAACACTCAAGGGCAGTGAAGTCTGCTTGACCTGGGAGGGGGTAGGACTGAATTAAATTGGTGGGAAATGAAAGTACAGATTCAATAATGAATGAAGTGGGTTTGTCATCCCTGCATGTCATGAGCCTGACTTTCCAGTCATGCTGATGCGCCGTACTGATGTTTCTGTTGCTGTGTCTCAGTACGGCTCCGGATCTGAGGAATCTCTCTGCATCCGTGGAATGTTGCCTCTTTAATTATTTCATCATTTTTGGGGAAACTTTCTGTCTGTCAGCAGTTCACTGTCAGGGCTGTATAAAAATTGGACTGTTAAAACCTGGGGGACATGAGCCAAAACTATAAGAAGGTTCCTTTAGCATCTGGTCCCCCTCCCCCGCTTGGAGGCCGGCCGAGCTGGGCCAAGGGGCCGGCAGTACTGATGTCGTGCCATGCAGGTGACTCGGGGATGTGTTTAATTTGAGCTCCTGGCCTCTTTTGACCCCTCCTCGGACTCCCGCCCAGGCACGTCTTGTAAAAGCGGCTCAGAAACATGCTTGAGATGAGCACTGGGACTGTTTTGTCCGGGTCGTTTTGGGTCCGCATTGACGGATTGTTCTGGAGAGGCGGAGGGGGGAGTCACTGGTCCGCTGTTTAGGGAGTCAGAACGGAGCTGAATGCTTTTCGGAAGCAAAGGGTGGTTACCCTAGGGCGGGGCGCCTGTCACCTCGGTGGCTCGTAAGGACTGAATCGTCACACGTCCCCGGCGGCGCTGTCAAGCTCGGCTGCCCAGGGTCTCACATCTATCCGCATCAGGCCCTCTTCATTCTGCCCTGGGTTTGTCCCGGTTGAGTTTTGTCCAGCAAGTCACTTGATCTGGTCAGGTTATGGTTAGTTTATGGTTAGTTTATGGTTAGGTTAGCTGCATTCCTCTGAGCCTGGAGGTTCCTGTAAGGATGGATGCAAGCGCTGAACTGCAGCCTTCCATTGATCTGGGCTTTCATGAAGTCAGGGTGGTGCTGCCGGCTAAACAGTCTGTCCTACTGTCTCTTTCTTCTTTGTCAACCCAGTGTAATCAGATAAAAATGGGCGGACTTTAGCTATTGCTTTGTTTTAGGGTCTGTGATTGGTTGAAAAATCATAATGGACATCTGCAGGTTCAGAGCCGGAACAGTGGCCTTTACCTGCATGGATCACGTAGACTGATATCTGGCCGCCTCTCAGTTCTCTCTCAGACACGTGGCCTGGATTTTCCCGGCACGTTCCACGCACGTTCTGCTCCTGCTCCACAGAACCCTCCAGTCCTCCAAGGACCTCAAACTTTTAGAGAAGCCTGATTATGACCCAGGAACCACAGAACCCAATACTTCGATGGTCAATCTGAAGAAATAAACGATTTGGCACGGTACTGACCGCTATATGTGGAAAAATCCGGTATTTAAAGGCGGCTGAAAGCTGCGGATTGGCTCCGATTCCTCACCGAGCAGAAAGGCTTCGGTGCGCTTAAGTCTCCAACCGGCTGCATTGTGCTTTCTGAGCGCACGCTAGTCTCTGCACTGCCGGGTCCCAGGCCAGCCGATGTGCCAGAGAGGGCGCCGCCCTGCTGGCTGTCAGGGCCGTGAGCACCGGCTCTGGTCGCGCAGCCTGACAATCCGGTATCGCTTGACCAAGTCCGGTTCACCACTGCTCTCAGCAGGGTTGCCACCTGTCCAAGATTTTCCAGGACCAACACGGATACTGGTTGTCTGTCCTGGAAAAATACGAATCTCAGGACTCGGATGTCATCTCCAGCTCCCAATGGCTCCCAAGCTAGTTTTCTTCCCGTTTGCAATCTTCTGTTTTTGTTTTTGCCGCCTCTTAACTTCATTGTTCTGCCGGCCTTTTTCCCCCTTAAAGCCTTAAACTTTGTAAGCCTCCAAAGCGTATCCAGTTTCCCAGTGCGGCGGCTCGTCACCCCTCTGTTCCCCGCTGATCCTCCCACATAAACCTGCTCTCCCCTCCTTATGTGCCCCCATCTGGTATTACGCTCCCATCATATTTCGCTCTTCACATAATTTGGTTTCTTTTAAAAGTCGGCTAAAAATAAACTTCAAAGCCTGCAGGTCTGATTCCCAAAGCGGATCGGCCGTATTCCCGTGCCGTCAAGCTGCAGCCGTCGTCTCCCAGACACATCAGAGTGTTCAAGGTGCTTCCAGTCTGATGTTTCTGACAGGAGACGGAACGGTTCGTTCTTGACATTTACTGCTGGCTGTTTGCATTTAATTGAGCCGGGGCTCAGCGACGGACCCTGATCTTCTTCTGCCTCATCGCTAATGGCTGGCAAGGTGCCTAACCCTAATTTCTTCATTAGATATGAAGCTGTATGACACCGCATGTGTGGTCAGGCATGTGCTCATAAGTTGAGTATCACCTGTAGCGCTAAGCCAGACACCTAACCAGTCTTCCCATGTAAACATGCAGCTCTGTACCTGGAAAGCAGAGAAATAAAGGTAACAGATTAAGGGGCAGCTAAGCCTGGATTTGTACATATCACAGCACAGCCATGTGACACGCCTTGGGGCCACTCTTATGAAGGGCGCTATATAAAAATACACTGAGTTGAATTGCAAATGTCCTCAGTCTGGAATGGAGACGGGTAAGGTAGAGCGGGTCCCTGCACTGGCTCGCACTGCTCCTGGGGCCCAGTGTCGGGTCACATGACTGCAGCACCACAGGAGGTCTGCTTTCTGTCCGTCGTGGCCGGGCGCCGCCGGGCCTGTGCTCCAGGAGCTCGTTAGCCTGATGTAACCTCGGAATTAGCGGTTTTGCCGAGCCACGCCGTCACTTTTAACGGCCTTGCTGTTCTCTGCACGCTGCGTTTCCGTGCCGAGATGCAGCTCCTAATGAGCTCTGTATCTCCAAGCTGCTTCAGTGACGTTTAGCTGTTTCATGGATTCCTACATCAAACGGAAACCACCTGTTCATGGATATATTTTAGTGGAGAATCTGGGAATCCTTCTGGCTCATCCAGCAGCAAGATCCTACTTGTGAGTTACTGGTTTATACTCTTAATTACCATGCCACCTGCTGTGATTCACAGCGCCCACGGCCAGAGCTGGGCTCTTGTGGTAATCTGAACGGAATTCTCGTTTTGGCAACCTTGGTCATCCAGTGGCCTCCGAGGCTGATGTCTGACATCTGGCTGCCAACCTGGGGTGTCCTTTCCAGAAGATGGCCGCTGTTAGTTTTTCCGAATTTCATGCGCCTGGTTACCTTTGTCCAAGCCTTCGTGCGAGGATGCTGTTTACCCTCCATGCCTTGGGCGCTCAATGCTCTCCCTGCCTCTCCCTGCCTCTCCCTTTCACCGTAAGAGCCAGAATTCCTCTGTAATCAGGTTGGTCAGCACGTGCCACGCTTGCTTGCTTTGTTTGGGACCTTGTACTGGACTTATTAAGCATTTATTTGTTTACCTTGTCATCCATCACCTTCTGTCGTAAGTGTGCGTGAGGTTTAGAGCTTCCTTGGCATGTTCCGGTGAAACATCAAACCTCACGTAATGTGATGACATGTCTGTTGCACACACTGTTACACGCACGTATATCGCTTTAAGATGTTTCCCTGCAAGACTCACCCTGGCAGCAAGGCAGAAACCTTAAAATGGCAGGTTTTAGCCTCCTGTGAGTCCAGAAACATGCATACAGAGTCGAACCTTCCTTCCACTAGCTGTCCGGCACGGAGAAGAGAACGTGTAGCTGGAACACCGGGCCCAAACTGGCTGTGATTGGGAATGGCTTTCGGAGGGACTGGAGGGGCACAGGGTGGAGCGGTAGCTGACTTCCTGTCTGAACCAGTCCGGTCAGTCTTGCTTGTTCTGCTTCCTTTTGAGATATCAGACAGTCGGTAAACGCACTGTGCTGCTATGCCCTGCCCCGCCCCTCGGGGGCGACACCGTCCACACAAACTGCGAGTAAAATCAGCATTTGACCCTCAGAATCTGATCCATCCCACCGCAGGTGAAGAGTGGTAGGCGTGGACACAAATAACAGCTGCATCTGAGCGGGGGATGGGTCATGTGCAGGTAAACGGACTTGCTGTCCAGGGCAGGGGGGGGGGGGCAGTGCAGACACAGGTGCACCTCACTGGTGAAAAGAATACAGGATCCCTGCATCCCTGCGTCCCTGCGTCTCTGCATCCCTGCGTCTCATGCCCTGTTCTTTACATTTTTCAGAAAGTAGGGTCAGCCAGTCCCTGGAGTTATTGTGGGTTAAAGGGCTTTGATTAGGTGGCTGGTGTTTGTCAGTCGTCTTTGAGGGATGGGCTCCACGTCAAAGCCGGGGTGGCCCTTTAAGGCAGATGCTGCAACCCCCAGCGTGACAGGGCCGATGGGGGGGGGTAGGTCAGACGTAGACTGTGCTCATGTTTATGGTCTCTACCACGTCTGAGCAGGAGCAGAGCCTGTCCTCAGGTG